AACTTTTCGGCCTAACCCAAACTTTTCTTTCAATTAGATACCCTTGTTGATTTAACTTAAAGAAAACTAAATCTAAATATAAAAATGGGTGGGTGATTGATTCATCATTGATTAATGTTCTACTTCTTGATCGAAGTACGGCCAAAACGCCTTATATGTTTTTCCAATAGCTTTTTCCTTTACAGATGTCTCCCTAAAAAGCTATTAAAACTATATAAATATATTAAATAAATATAATACTTATTATATTACAATTTAAGGGAAATTAAAACACATTTTTAAAAATCATTTTGTTAGAATTGATACAGCATGATCTGTTAACAAAAACAAAAATGAAACATGTAATGCAATTTGTATAAATTAAAAACAAAGCACGTCGGCAAAAAACATATCACTATAATTCATATACAGGCTTGCTTCATATCGCAAAAAAAATTATTTGGTAAAAATACTAAATATTTATAGCATAGAGATACAAAAATAGGTATTTATAAAATAACATGACAAATTTAGAAAATACCACCAGATATGCATTTTAATGCTTGAAATCACAAAATATTTTTATTTTACATAAAGTAAAAATTCCTTTGATAATAGTAATAAGGTAACATGAAAAAATATATATAAATAGAGCTTCATCTACAAGCTTGTACAATATTTCACTAACCATCTCTTTAGTTAAAACATTGAAAAACCTTATGAAATATATATTGCATAGAATTGTAAACAAGGTATACTGTTGAAAAAATACTGACCTTTCAACTTTAACATAATTACTAAAAAGATATCTTGACTAATAGAACACCTTATTTTTTTATTAAAAATTTATAATATTCTACTTGGGCTTTAGACACATCTACTTGGGCTTTAGATGCATTTTCAATTGCTTCGCAAATACGCTCTAAAGCAACAACCTCTCTGATTCGTAGCTCTTGTGAACAGATTTGAACATCTAGATTTTTATTTGCTATTTTTAAATATTCAGAAGAAAAATTTGTTTTTTTATTTTTTCTCACTGGTTCAGTTTTTGCTATTTTATTCAAAGTTTTTTTATCATCAGAGTTCCTTCGTTTATTGCAGCTGGATGTAGATTGAGTTAGTTCCTCATCAGGAATAGTGACAATTGATTGCACATCACTTGTATCATCCAAAGCTTCAATATTTAAAATACTGACAGTCTCCTTGCTATCTTCCATTGTGGCAATCTGTAAATAAAATATGCACATTAAAAAATTACACATTTGAGAAATGATTATAAATCATATTTCAATCAAAATTTATCTCTTGACTTTGAAAGGCTTGACTTTCAAAAAGGATCTATTTAGACAATAGTATTTTACAAATTGATCTAGCCAATATTAAAAGATCCCTTTTATAATTCAAAAACTTTATATTATATGTTTTTGATCTTTATGTTTTAAGTCTGCCAAATGTTGCAAAACTAAGAACCTCTTAAACCTTATTTTGTAGAAATAGTTAACATGCTTGTTTATATTACTTTAAAAAATATATAGCACTTTAAAAAATACAGCAATAAAATATACTAAACTTACCTGACCATCTTGAAAATCTTGAGTAGAAAAGTTTTGACTTTGAGATAAAAGGTCATTGTCAAGGGAAGCTTCACCACCTATTATTTTGGCAACAATATCGTAAGGCCACCATTTACTAGGAGCTCCTCCCGATAAACCAACTTGAAGTTTTTCTCGTCTATGAAAAATATACATAAATATAAGTAAATATAAGCACATCATTAACACCGTATAAGATTAATCAAATAATTTTAAATGGACAAATTATTATTAACGAAATAATTATTAACAAAATTAACGAATTATTAACAAATAATAAAATAACGAATTATTAACAAAATAATTATCAACGAGCTTTAAATGTTCAATACTGAATAAAATTTAAGTAATTTTTAATATAACACTCAGTTACAAACTAAATTGCAATTAGATATTATTACACATGGTTAGTTTTGTAAAATACTTTCAGTATTTCACTAAGGTAACAAACATTAAATGTAGAATATGTACATACCTAAATTGCTTCCTCAAATTACTAATTTTAGATTGAATTTGATATCCATTTAACGGTGGTATGATATTAAATGTGTTTGAAAATTCAGCTGCCATTTGTTTGTAAATACTTGTGTTTCTTCTTGCAGATGTTAATGCTTTGTAATTATCTTTCCATAAATCTAATAATACTCTTGAGTTAGCCATATTCCATACAAATTTATTTAAAGGAGATGTGCAAAGACCAATATTTGTTGTGCTAGCGTCAATACACTCTTTTTCTGAATGCTGAGACATTGTGTAAAATTAAAGTTTTACCTACTAAAAAGGATAAGTACATTGAATCTTGCAACAATAACAACAACAACAACAAAAAGAAGAGAAATAGTTAATAATAAAATTAAAGGTTAAAATTCATAATTGCTATAAATGTTATGGGCTTAAAATAACTTAATAATGTTATGGGCTTACTGAATAATTTAATAAATTGCCAAAAACTGGTAGCCAAGAGAACAGAAACTTTCAGATGCTACTTTTACTTTTTTTTACTTTTCCATGCAATGTGATAATTATGTTATTTAATAACATTGATCTTTCAACACTATTGTTTATTTTTATTTTTAAATGTCAATAATTTTAGTACATTGTGGCAAAGATATAAGGTACAGTCATATCAATACAGTCAATCAATAATATATATTCTGAATAAAGGTCTTACTTTCACAATTATTCACAAACAGTAAATTAACTAATATTAAGTAAATGCAGAATATTTATGAGGAAAATACAATTGTTAATGTTCACAAATTAAAATAACAAGATAAGACAAAGCTAATATAATAAAATATATACGACATATAAATAAAATATATGACAAAGCTCATATATAACAATATATACCAATAATAATATCATTAATAATATTAATATATATAATAATAATAATGATGATAATAATGATAATAATATTAACAATTGTTATTGTTGTTATTGTTATCATTATTATTACTATTATTATAATTATTATTATAATAATAATAATTATTTTTATTATTATTA